CAGTGAGCTTTAGTTCTAGGCTACTTCGAATCATGCTGTGTCTGGTCCTCTTTCTGCTCATTTCATTCTTATTAAAAATAGAAAGTGACTATTAACCTGGATGATTATGAGGGACAGGAAGTTTGGGATACGGCAAAGGGCATGCAGTGTGGCGTCAAGGCTCCAGAATTCTTTTTTTTTGGTGCCGGGGATCGAACTCAGGTCTTTGCGCTTGCACAACAGGCGGCGAAGCCACTGAGCTAAATCCCCGGCCCCAAGGCTCCAGAATTCTTAATCAGCTCTTCCACTAATGAACTGATTCCCTGGGCCAGTCATGTGGGCTCTGAACCTTAATTTACTCCTCTGCGAAGTAGACTGATTGTGCATGGATCTCTAAGATTTTTCTTCCAAAGTTGCACTTTCTTTTACTCTAAGCTCTTACAGTTCTACATTTCTTTTCTCACTCTTATTTCATCTGCTTGTCTTCCCAAGCAGAGAAACATCTGGTTTCAAAGAAATATACTAAATAAATTTTAAAAAAAGAAAAAGGAAATATACTAAATAAAATATCAAAACAGAGACAATTTTTACAAAGACGAGAGAAATTTATCTGACTTATTTATGAAAATGAGCAGAGGATCTGCAATCATTTCCATCCTCATCATGCTACCATTTCCTGGATGGTCCTCTACTTTGAGGAATTTCCTTCAGGATAGAGAACTTGCTTAGGCAGATGAAAGGGCAGTAAAAGATACTGGCCACTTAGACTCCAACTCCACCTTGTCTATGTTCTAGATTGTTTTGAATGTAACTTTTAAGTTATTCAAAGTACTTAATTCCAAAAAAATGCGTATAATAGAGTATTATGGGTATTGGGGTATGAGTCATATGATCTTGTTCTAGTGTGGACTCTTCCTTTAATGAAATGCATGACCTTGGTTTTAAGTCACTTCTCTTCTGTACCCTCAATTTCTACATTTGTAAAATGGGCAGATTGGACTGGGCGGTGTCTAAGGTCTTTCAGCTCCAAACTTCTAGCTCTGAAATTGGGAAAGGCACAAGACTGGTGTAGTTTTGGGAGAACATAATTGGTTTTGGGGACAGAGTTCCACCATGTAATGATTCCTCTCCAGATACTCCCTCACTTAAATAGATGTGGCCACCTGAGCCAGGACAGGACAGAAACAGAGTTTCACTGTAATGCAACATTGTTGGGAGTGTGTCCTCTGCCTGTGAGGGGTCTTGCTTTGGTGAGCACACCAAAGTGTTGGTTACCTGGAGGAAGGGGAGGGATCTCAAGAAGTCTTAAAATATGGTTTTTGCCCTCACTCAGCTCACAACTGTATTGGTAAACACAAGGGCAGCATTCTAAGCTAGGGAATCCAGGAGATGGAATGATCATCCTAAACATCTGTCAGTTTCATAAAGCTAAGGAAATTTATTCTGAATGCCCAAGATAATAGGCATATCTACATGGGCAGATAACTCTGTCCAGAAGTTGAAAGAATGTCCTACAGGTTTTGGTGGTTCCGTATTTTATGGAGTTATCATTATTTTCTCTGAAGAGTTTGATGTTATTTTTTTAAAATAAAACTGTACTTGGGTCTTGTGATGATGCAGTTTGTGTTCTGTCTCCCTGTAATGAATGTATGTCAACTGGAAGGTTGGGCAGGCTATGTGGAAGAGATAGGAGCCAGGGACACAGTAGCAAAGTAGAGATCATTAACCAAATATAAGATATGGGTGGGAGCATAGCTTGGTGTTAGAGCACTTGCCTAGCATGCTAATACCTTGGGTTCAATCCCCAGAACACACTTACCACCCCCTAAAAAAAATAGGAAAAGGAGAAAAGAAATATAAAATTACAAGATGTATTCAGGAGACAACTGGTAGACCCATTTGGCTATAATGTGGCTTTTGAAAAGGAGAAAAAAAGAAGCTGAACATTTTTGGATTTAAATGATATGACATAATCAAAAGAGAGACCAAGGATAGATACTAGCCTTGCTATTTACTACGGTATGCCTTTGAGCAAATTATTTAATCTCTGAGTTAATATCTCCACCTGATAAAATGGGAGTAATAATACCAATTTCATAAGCTTTTTGTGAGGATTAATAGTAATAATGTATGCAAAGCTCCTGACACACTGAAAAAAATTATTTTAAGTTAACTTTTCAAATTCCAGGTTCTTTCTAATTCCACAGTGAATTCTTCTATTACAGTGAGTGGGAGTTAAGCAGTCAGACCTTGCATTTGAGTTATGTTGGGCCAGTTATAAAGTCTTCAATTTTAGGCAACTTACTTAGCCTGTCTTACCTTTAATTTACTAATCTACAGAATGAGATTAATCATACTTATTGAAAGGACTAGAAGTGTATTATGTTAAGCATCCAGTAAATATCACCTGATAAGAAGAGAAGAGGCAGTAGATTTCATTTTTTAAAATGTTAATGGGGAAAGCAGAAAAAAATGAGTTATTATAATTAACATCCTTGAACCCTTGACCAAGGAGCCTAGAATGTCTTTTGGAGACACTAGGGAGACACTGGAGGTGTTTTTCCTGATAGCGTTCCTTAAGGTGAAGAATAAGAGAATCTTGAGATTTATGACGATGTGTTCAAGAATATCAAGATTGTGCACAGGACAACTCTCTGGAGGTGGAGACCAACTTACTAAACATAAAAACCAATTTTCTTTATCTACATGCTACATAATTATTTTACTACCAAATGTATTTTTCTATGAAATACAACAATTCTGAAAATAAGAGAGGCAGAAATGGAGAACGAGGAAGCAACAGAGAGAAAAGAAGAGACTCAGAGAAAAAGAGAGGTAAGGAGGGGGATAAGAAAATGCAGAGATGAAGCGAGATGAGAGGAGGTAGCTGTCCACAAAGACTGTTTTGCTTTTTGTGTGAAGACCCCCAGCACCCAGCTGTGCTGTATGCAGATGGCTTGAGAGAACATGCATCCAGGTATGCGTCTGGCATCACAAGATTTGAATTTGCAGCTGACAGGTGGCCTATTTTAAATAGAACTGTGGGGAATTACTGTAGAAGGGTGAGAATATCACCTCCCTGTGTTATCCCAGCTCCACCAACATGTGCCTGAACACCTGGGAATAGCTCATTCCACCTATCTTCATACTATCTGCTGACATGTTTCTGTGTCCAGCCCAGGAAAAATGTCTGTTCAACAGCTTGTACTTGATGAAAAAGAATTCCTGTTTTCTTCTTCAGCTCCATTTTCAGTCTGCTAGAGGACTGCTTAGAGGAGTGCTGTAGTCTGGAGACCCTCCAAATATGTAGCCCTCAACATGATGGTGAGAGGTGAGCCTCTCAGAAGTGGTCAAGACTGGAGGGTGAGGTCCTCCTGAGTGGGGTTAGTGCCCTCAGACACTAGGCCTCTTATGCCATGTGAGGACTTATACAAGACACTGTGTGGGAGCAGGCCCTCATCAGAGACTGAACTACTGACATCTTGATCTTGGACTTTCCAGCCTCCAGAACTGTAGGAGAGAAATTTTTGCTGTTCCTAAGCCACCCAGTGTATGGCATTTTTTTTTCTTTTAGCAGCCCCAACAGATTAAGACAAAGAGGGCAGTCTTCTTTTTGTGAGAAAGGTGTTAGCTTATTCTGGGATATCTTTACAAAGTTTAATTATGTTTTTAACATCATCTTTCCTTTTCAGTTTCACTAGTCACCCAAACAGTAATGAATGTCTAATAACTAATGGGCATCAGCAACCTGCCAGAGTCACTTATGCCACAGCAGTAATGGCATGTCCCCACCACAGCTAATCCCTGTACCTGCCCCAACCCCAAGCCCGCCTCGAAGCAGTGGGGGTGCTTTGGAGCTGCACTGTGCGTTACCCATTGCAGCCTCAGTAGAGCTGCTGTGCGACGGTGCAGTTCATGAGTGACAACTGAATAAAAATGCTAATTGCCCACCCTCCAAGGGATCGTGGCTCATACTGTCCCCTTGGACTTTTTCTCAGCCTGCCTTCCTGTTTTAAAAGATCACATGGAAATTGTTCGCCCCCCAAAAGCCACATAGGACCTTTTTCTTCTGGATGTAGGAATGTTTATTTTACTCTCCCTCCACTGTTTTGAAGAACTTTTAATTAACTAATTAATACATCATTTCAAATTTTAAATGCCATTGACTTTTAAATCAAACTAGATATGTTCCTTTGTAATTTGCAGTTTTTGCATGAAATCATGTGAGAATAAGCCATGTTGATACTTTAAATGCTCATTATTAATTTCCTTTACTATATGGTACTTCATTCCAAATACGTAGTGTAATACATTTATCTCTCTTCTCTGTTGATGGACATTTGGAGTGTTATTTGTTCTTATAAGTCACAAATTTGGACTATTTTTCACTCTTCTAAATTCTGATGCTATGAACTTTTCCTGAACATTCCTGTAGTTACACGTGTACAAGAATTCTGTCGATTTTATAAGTTGGGGTAGGATTGCTGGGTCAAAGGTGTGAATATTTTGACTTAATATTAATTATTTTCAAGTGTCTTGCAAAGTGATTATACCAGTTTTCACATATAATGAAAGTGTGTAAGAGTCCCAATTGATCTCATTCTTGGTGGTGTTTTGGGTTATTTTTTGCTACCTGGCTCACATTTTGGCCGATCTTGTCAGTGTAAAATGGAAGCCCTTTCTAGCATTGATTGGTGTTTCCTCAGTTACTCATGAAAGCAAAATTTTTTCCTGTTCTCTAATCAGTGATGCCTCTTCTTTGCTGAATTCTTCATATATAGCCAGTCTGGCCTGACCTATTCGGCACAGCTCTGCATATGGAAGAACTAGAATAGAAAGTGAAGGGAAGCCAGGCCGGTGGCGGGGGAGGCACATCTGCAATCCCAGCGCTCCGGGAGGCTGAGGCAGGAGGATCACAAGTTTGAGCCTAGCCTTGGTTCAACCCCCTCCCCACAAAGTACCAATTAAAAAAAGTGGAGGGGAGACATAAAGTGATAGGTGTGCTCCTTTTCTTTGTGAAGGGCCCGAGGAAGCAGAAAGTGGCCGATACGGACATTATGTCACCAACATGGGAATCACTATGGATGATGGGTTTGAAGACAACCTTGATCTGAACATTTCCTTTGAGGAGGTAACAGTGATCTCTGTTCTTAAAATTCACAGACTTTTGTGTTCTTGCTGAATGAGGCAATTGAGCCAGTGGATCATGAACATTTTACTTAAAACTTAAAATTGTCCCATTTGCTTTGTTTCCCCAGTTTTAATTTTTTTTATTGTTTCTAATGCATAACGATTTTGTTTCCCCTGACATGAGGCTCAAGGTGATCATGAGTTAGTAGATGTAAAGTGCCAACCATGCTGGTATTTTACAGAGAGCCACTGCCTCTGACTGCACAAGCTGGATTTCCCACACAATGACATTTTATAAAATCAGGTATCACAGGAAAATGAATGAGCCTTGATAAAGTAATGCCTCTTTGTAAGAATATAGTAAGAATAAATCATATAGAGGCCAGGGATATAGCTCAGTGGTTCCACTGCCTGCCCCTTAAGCGCAAGGTCCCGAGTTTGATCCCTGGAATAAAAAAAAAAAAAAAAAAAGAAAGAAATAATGTCAGACTTTATCAATGATTTTGAGTAGTGCAGGGAGAGTACTAAAAATCCCTCAGTTTCAAGTTCTTCATCCGTAAATTGGGATCAGTGCTTCTGCCTCTTCTACATCCTAGGGTTTTTGAAAGTATTAACAGTGACCACATTTTCAAGTATTAGGCAACAACCTCAACAACGGCTATCTGGTTACCATGTTCTGTTTTTATGCTGAATCCTTTTTGTTCTCTGGCTTCAGGTTAAACCCCTTCCCCCTACCAAAGGAGGACATAAAAAATTCTTGGTGGAAAGCAAGATGCCATCTCTGTCTAACCGGAAGACTATTTCCAGGCTGGCACCCCCTACCCTGGCACTTCTGTCCAGGACCACAGCAGCTCTGCAGCCCACTCCAGCACGGCAGAAGGGGAAGAGTGGCATGGCCACCATGTCGAGGCTCTTCGACATGTCTTGTGATGAGACCCTGTGCTCTGCTGACAGCTTCTGCGTCAATGACTACACCTTGGGGGGCTCACGATGCCACTGCAACCTGGGCAAAGGTGGTGAGAGCTGCTCAGAAGGTAGGCCCTTTGGAGAGGGACAAGCTGGCACTAGATAGGCCCCAGGGAGTTGGAAGGCAATTCTGTGGTCCCAATGTAGTTCCTTCTCGTTCCTTTTGTCAGATAAGCCTTTTCTTCTACCTACTGCTCATTAAATTAGCTATATGAAGCCAGTTGTGAAGCAATTTCCATTGCTTCTAATTAAGTAGCAGCCCTATTTGTAAGTGTGTGAAATGTCTTTTTGGAGCAACAGTCATTGAATCATCTTGACACCCTGGAGATGTAGGTACCACTACTGTCACATTACTACCAAAAGATGAAGCCAGAACATTTGCGTAATAATTATGCCAAGGTCGAATGCACAAATGTATAGCTAGAAAATAAATAGCACTGGTCTTAAAGTCATTGATCTCTTTTCTGGGAAGCAAGTAGTAACCTCCAAAAATTCCATTTCTTGCTAAGAATTTCAGAAGCTCGCAGTCCTCAAGAGTGAGAATAGTAGCTATAAAAAGTAGGGACAGGAAGCAGGTGTGGTGGCGCACACCTGTAATCCCAGCACTCTGGAAAGCCAAGGCGGGAAACTATAAATTCAAGCACCATCTGGGCAATCTAGCAAGACTCTTGTCTCAAAATAAAAATATCAATAAAGAGCTGTAAATGTAGCTCAGCAAGAATGTCCTGGTTTCAATGCCTAGTATTGCCAAAAACAAAAGAAGAGAGTGAAGTTCAACAAATTAGCAAAGGTTTTTCACTTGATAATATCCAGGCAAGATTGTGTGTTGAAGTTTTGCTTTTGCAGAAATGAAGGAACAGCCTTCATGTTGTCTTTTTTTCTTTTCAGATATTGTTATTCAATATCCCCAGTTCTTTGGCCACTCCTATGTCACTTTTGAGCCCCTGAAGAATTCCTATCAATCATTTCAAATTACTCTGGAATTTAGGGTAAGAGGGACTGGTCATTTGTTGAGCGCTTGTTGGATACTTTAACACATTAAATGGGGAGGGGCAGTCTTTTAGTAACTTTTTTCCTCAATGCTGAAACAAAATCCTTGACACTCAGAGTTAAAGGGGAAAAGGTTCATTTGGCTGACAGTTCGTAGAGGTTTCAGTCCATAGTTGGCTGACTCCAAGGCAGAGTGGCTCCTGGCTGAACCAATGGCAGATCAAACTCAGCCAGTGATTTCAATTTAGTGTGATTTTTTTTTTTTTAGTACCTTCTAAGCAAAAAGGTTTAGAGGTTTGGGAACAAGACCCCCTTGAGGTCCTGGCCACAGTGCTGAGTGTCCAAGAGTGAGCTGTCCTCATCTGAGACAGCTCGCATCCATCAGCTAAGTTGTATTTACCACTTTATTCTCCTGATGGAAGGAAAGACACAAATTTGCTTCCTCCGCAGAGAGAAGGAAGAAAAATGAAAAGAATAAAAGATAGAATGCTCTTTGGTGAGAATAGAGGTCGATGAGCATAAGCAGCACTCTCTATGACAATGGCTGTGCACATATGGCTTCCTGGAGGCCCCACAAGTGGACCACAAAGCCATGTAAAGAGCAGGTCGGGGGTTCTCCTCTTTTCCTCCCCCTTCCTCTCCCCTCTCTGCCATTCCTCTGCACTGATTGTCTCGCTGCCATTTGCCTAATGGAAATGAACAGTACCTGGGAATTCATTAGAGTCCCTGTGCTTACTGCATCATAAATAGGGCCACTGAGGAGAATGCTCAAGTTGCGTATTCATGAGTGTTTCCAGATGGTGCTTTGTGGAAGTGGAGATGGTCATTGTTTATGTGGCTTTTGTTTTTGTGACAACAGGCAGAGGCAGAGGATGGCTTGCTGCTCTACTGTGGGGAGAATGAGCATGGCAGGGGTGATTTCATGTCCCTGGCTGTCATACAGCGCTCACTCCAGTTCAGGTAACACCTGCCCAAACCCCATAGATTTAAAAAATTCTCCTCTGCATTATACTTACATTTTCATAATGTGGGTGCAATCTATGCAGGATGGATTCCAGAAGGTAAAGGAATGGTGCAGAGCAGATGAGCAAGGACTGGTTTCCTAAATAATGGAGTGTCCAGATGGCACGGTAAATTCTGAGGCTTCAATTATGGAACCTTGTCTCCAGTCTTCTCATGTCAAACATGGCTGACAGTCATGGAGGGCAGTGAGGAGCTTCCAGCCTCCAGAGGGCTCACAGAGGCACAAGCCCTGTCCCTACCTTCCCTGAACACTGTGATGAACCCTCTGGCTTGCCTCCTCTGCCCTGAACCTTTCTCTCCCAGTATACTTTGGAAGCCACTTTTAACTTGTGTGGTTTGAGAGGGGCAGTTTTATGGCTCGGGAGAGGTTATGGAACAACTGTTGTGTATGACCAATGGGTACACAGCAGCTGTCTATGAAGGACCAATAGGTAAAAGGTTCACAGCACCCATTTTTGAATGACCAATGGACATCAGCTCTGTCCATCTCAGTGGTGCAATTGTAAGATCCTGATGGCACCACTTCCCAGCTGCCTGATCTTATCCAAGCCTGGGCTTCCTCATAGAGTCATAATGAGGATTAAATGAGTTCAGTTCTATAAGTGCTTAGAGCAGTACCTGCCCCAGGGCAAACACTCAACAGGCACCAACTTTTACTGTCTTTTCTAATTATTTCAGCATAAAAATACTTTGGGTTACGTTGGAGAAGCCATTGAGCATCCCAAATGGGCTAGAGACTGGAACCCCCATCCTTTGGTAATGATTTGATTCCTGGAAATTTAATGGTGGCCAGAAGTAGTTGTGACCTCATGGGGCCCTGGTACTTTTTTTGAGGATAGGGTAGATGCTCAGTCGCACTGGCACTTACAGGCTGGTAGCAGCTCCTCGGCTCCACAGCTCATTTGGGCTAATACTGGCATCCCCTTCTAGGAAACCTCCAATCCCATCCCACTCTACTGAGGGTCCTGAGGCAAAGAGAGGCCATGAGGAGTGGGCTCCAGGCAATGCCAGTCCTAATAAGGCCAGTGCCTACCATACCACATTGCTAGGAGGTGATCTGAGTATGCTTGTGGAAGTGTAACTATTTGGAAGTTGACTGGAAAGAACCAAACTTTTATCTGTCAGGCATAGTGGTCCTTGGGGACCCCTGGGTCATAGGTAGGTTTGGAAAAATAAAAATAATGCTTTTCCTCCATCCCACACTGGCCCCCATGGAAACCTGTCGTGTATGTGGGCACAGCCGAACATAGATGGGAGGGCTGGCCTGCTTGGCGAAATGAGTGTGAAGACTTGGATTGTTACATTTTATTAATATCACAGACCCTGTTACTTGAGAGTGGAGCAAAGTCCCCAGCCAGATCCTTGGAAATAGAGTGACTTGGGTTCTACTTGTCTGCACCTTGAATCTGCATTAAGTATCTGTTGATCTCTGGAAAGAGGGAGGGGTCTTAGCTGCCCGTGATTGTCTGAGCTGCAGAGCCAGTCTGGCTAAGGAGGCTTCTCCAAAAAGTTCTGTGGACAGAGTGAACAGATGGAGAATGTCCCAGGGAAGAGGCATCTGGCTCTTTTGGCACACATTTAAACAGCTGTTGATGTTCATAAATGTAACTCAGCAGATCGACTCTGAAAGGAGCTGTTATCCTGGAAGCGCTGTCCGTGGAGTCTGAAAATGCAATGGGCTGGCTGACTCTAGCATCTCCTTTCCCTTTTCCTTCCTACAGGTTTAATTGTGGGACTGGGGTTGCCATCATCTTGAGTGGGATGAAAATCAAACTGGGGGCGTGGCACACAGTCGTGCTGCACAGAGACGGGGTGAATGGGCTGCTGCAGCTGGACAGTGACACCCCAGTGACAGGCCAGTCCCAGGTGAGTGGAAGCTGCACCTCTGCCCACCCTCCCCGACCCCATCAGCATCTTGGGAGGGACTCACTGCAGAGAGCAGAGGTTGGTGGGCAGGAGTTGAATTGAGGTTGGACTTTAGGAGACCCAGGTTTAGTGAGCCTGCATAGCTGAGCTCTGCTGGGGTCCTTCCCCGTCTTCCCCTACAAAGGCTGGGGAAGGACTTAAACTTGTGAACGTCATTGCTGTTGCGCGCATAGGTACTGGCTTGTGCCCAGGGACATGTTCTTTCCACAAAGACATCAAAGCCAGGGGTCAAGGAAGGCCCATGTTGGAAGAGCAGAACCCAGCATTTGTGTCAAGTTTGATTTTAAGGTAGGAGTGTGGTAATCCTGTGGCTTTAGAAAATAGCTCTGAGAAAATATCTCTGAGAGACTCATTTGGTTCAATATGCAGGAATAATCTGCTCATTGTGAGGGCTGGGGGAGGATCCCTGTAGGAATTGGGAAAATAGTTTAACAGTTCGGTTACTCAGCAAATCATCTAGCTGTTCCCATATTTGTTATGCTGTGGGTAATTTTAGAACTGTGTTTAGAGTAAGCAGTTTGGATTAGCAACCTGCCAAGGAACTGAGCCTGTAATTATAGTCAGGCAGGTATCTATTCTCTAAGGGAAAGTGGAGCAGGAAAGCCTTTGTGTGTACGTATCTAACCTTCCTCTCTGCCTCAGCTCTTCACTACTCTTTAGTGGCAAGACATGTATGCAGAGGGCCATGCCTTGCTGATCAAAGAGAAAAAAGAAAGGAAATCTCATTAGTTTGGACCCCTGTGGTTCCAAAGGAACAAAAGTCCAAATCTCCTGAATGTGAATCTGAGGAGCTTGCTTGTGCCCATATTGCTAAGGAAGGAAAGTCAGCATGTATGAAGCCAAGTCACCTAAATGGCAGAAGAATAAGTCTAACATGACAAAATGAAATTTGGTAGGAATAAAGGGACTGCAAACTTGGGTCCAAAATATTGACACAAAGACAGGATGGAGAAGCTATAATAAAAGCAGCACCTATGAAAACATAATATGGTTTAAAGCAAGGAAGCTAAAAGAATGATAAAAGAACAGGAACATGTTAAAACAGGGACAAGTAAAAAAATATATAAGTTGCTTTAATAGAGGTATAATACCTAGAAAAGGGGAGCTTACAGGCTTATTCTATTCTGGTGACTATGTAAGAGCTTCCAGGGGCTCTAATTGTGACTCTAATCTCAGAAAAGGATTAAATTCATCTCTGTGATGGCATTGTAAGAAGGCCATCAGTAAATTGAAGCATGTTCAAGGGGAAGTCACCTAGACAAGAAGATGATTTGAGATCTCTTCAATAATTGGTGAAGGGAGCATTGTTCAATTGGAAGAAGAAGAGGACAGCATGGAAGTTGGGTTTCACTGTAGAGTCAAAGGAAAAGTCTTGGGAAGAAGGATTTCCTCACTAGACCCCAAACCTGAAGCCATATGGGAAGATCTTTGGGGAAACCATTTTTAGTTTTATCTAATCATACAGAAGTGCACAGAGGCATGACACACTCTCAGGAGATGATTTCCTGTCCTTGTGAGTGTTCAAAAAGGAACTTATCTAAACCTTGGGCAGAGATGTATAAGGAATCCAATAGCCAATGAAAGTTTGGATTATGTTATTTCCCATCCCAGGACTCTATGACTTTAATAAATATAAGAAAAATGCAAAAGGCATGTAGTGTTATGGGTATTCAGGGTGAAATTTGCCGTTGGACTACTGGGACTGGCTGAATGAGTCGTAGAAGCAGGACCACAGATGGGGAATGTTTAATAGACTGTCTTGGGAGATGGTAATTCTATTTTAAGGTTGGCTCCCCAGAAACAGATCTGAGACAAGCAAGTGCTGTGAAAGTGATGTGTTAAGAAACTTCTCTCCAGAGAGACAGTTAAGGCAGAGGAAAAGCTGGACAGGGAGGAGGAAGAAGGCAGCAAGCGTGAGATCTGAGGTGCAGTTCTTCAGAGCATGGCTTTCACCTGGTCCCACAAGAGAGCTCTGGATTAATTATGCCTCAGAGTTATCCCAAACTGTTTCGAGCTATGCTGGGGGAATGCAAACTCCAGGCACTTTCATTTCTCTGCCTAGGCAGGCAAAACAGGTACCAGGGAGCTGAAGGTTAACCACATTAGGGGAAGGTAAAGGCCAGGGTTAAAGACTGTTGCCTGGAACGTTGTGAAGAGCACCACCAAAGAGCCACCTGTCCCTTCCACGCACTTAGTACTTTGCAAAGGGATTGAGCTGCCCAGCCTCCTGCTGTGGTCTTGGATCAAGGAACAAGACCAGAATGGGGAGGATGGGGTTGAGAAGAAGTGAATTCTGAGGATCTTGATGAAATAAGCCAAGAGAGCATTTAACTCATCTAATGAAAGCAGTGTTTTCAGTGGCCAAACAGCTTTAATTAATCCTTCAAACCCATAGCAGTACTGTATAATTCAGTCTGTTCTTTACAAGTGATTCTTGTCTGTTCATCAGAAAAGATAAAACAATGTTTACATTTCTAATTGCTGGAAACAGATGTTTATAGGGTACAGATTAAGTGTCAGAGGCTTCTATCTTGGACATTTTCTGAGAACTGGCACAGTGCCTTTCCCTAACTCCTGTTTTTATCCATTAATCCAAATAAATTACAAAAAGCATAGCCAAAGGTGCCTTCATTTTTCCCCTAACATTCAGCTCTGTGTTCCATAACCTCCAAACCTGCAATCCAGATTGTGGTTTCATCTAAGATTAGAAAGTTCCCTACCTTACTGTAATAACACTTTTGAAAAAAAGCTGTAGCCATAAACAATTGGAAAGTATTTTGGAACACACTCTGTTTGGCAATTATCCCTGCACTGTGTTTCTTGCAGTATATAAAATAAAGGTGACTCAGAAAAAGAAAGGGTTGATGTCAGTCTACAAATACACAAAATTAATATTGCCATCTTTGGGGAGACAGCATGGCTCTGTGACCTGCCCAAGATACACAGTGGATTGATGTCAGGACTGGAAGGAGAATGGTTGTCTTTGGATGGCAGGCATCCTGTCAGGTTGGTCTGGGCTCTGACCTCCTGCCCTTCCTTCCCAGGCCTTCCAGAATCATCTCTGCCAGAAGCATAGCCCTGGAGAAACTCATTGAGTTTTCTGTAGTAGCTAGAGGTTGCAATTTCCAGCAGGACTATGTCTTAATTAAAGACAAACAGGAATGAAGGAAAACACTGCACTGTAACCTACACCTTAACCACTTCCCTCATCAAAATCTGTCCTGTTTTGGCTTTTCAGTTTGCCTAGTGAGGTTAAGTTTTCTTCTTTCTTAAAGGGCCAGTACAGTAAAATCACCTTCCGGACTCCTCTCTATCTTGGTGGGGCTCCCAGCACTTACTGGTTGGTCAAAGCCACGGGGACAAACAGAAACTTTCACGGCTGTGTGCAGTCACTTGCTGTTAATGGAAAGAAGATTGACATGAGGCCGTGGCCCCTGGGAAAAGCTCTCAGTGGGGCTGATGTGGGTAAGTGACTGCCCAGGGAGTTGGGAAGGCCATGTGGATTGCCTTGGCCAGGGTGTGAGCAGAGGCCTGCAGTCCTGGGAAGCTGGCTAATGTGGAACTCTAGGTGGCAGGTAGGCCCATGTTATGCTCTGCAGACACCCTGAGAACACCAAGATTTAGTAGCAACATTGTGCACCAAACCCTTGTGTCCTGCTGTCATCTTGACCTCTTCTTAAAATGTGGCCTGAGTTCATTGGACGGAGTGACACACAGTTTAGCCCTGTCACCCAACTTACCAAGACCAGTGGAAAAGTCAAGACAATAATGTCAGAAGAGCTTTCCTATGCCCTCAGTTTGAGAAGAAAATGTCAAATTCTAATTCTTGACCAACTGTGGCAAACATCTTGTCTGCCCTGGGATTGTTTTGAAGGCAAGAACATTCAGGCAGCAGGTAGATAATGCCACAGATGGTTAATTCAATTACAATTAGTTTACCGGAAGTGCTATAACTAAACACCACAAACTGCATTATAAGAGACGTTATCGAAAACCCTGGCATGGATCTCAATCTCCTGCAAGCCAGTATGAAATCCAGGAGATAGGAAAGAGGGAAATAAAGACACAGAGACAGAGACTTGAGAGAAGTAGAGTCTTGGGCTGATTTAGCTGCTCTGGGCAGCGAAGACAAAGACACCAAGAACATCCGATATTTTATTTGTTACAAGTGTGGGAAGAAGGGAGCTGGGCAGGCCTTGAGACATCTGCTGATAACAAATATCAAGCAGGCAGGACTGTAGAGTGAGGGCACAAGGATATCTTTGCTGAAGAGAACAAACAGTGAATTCAGAAGGGGAGAATTTAGTTGGAGTCAGTTGACCTTGGCTGGAAATGACCTTGGCCATTTGGACTACTTCAAATATAACACTGCCGATTTATGGAGGGGCAAGATGGCAGGCCACTATAGCCAACTAACACTGGGCAGAGGTCTCTGGTATACTACATGGTTTCAACATCAAAAATTTAATTTATCATGGTTGTGGAGGCTAGAAGTTCATGGTCAAGGTGCAGGCAGAGCTGGGTTCACCCGAGGCCTCTTGCCTTGTCCTGCAGGTGGCTGGTAGCCTTCTCCCACTGTCCTCACATGGTCCTCACACAGTCTTTCCTTTGTGTGTCTGTGGGTGTCCAAATTTCTTCTTCTTCTAAAGATATCAGTCAGACTGCATTAGAGCCCCACTCTTAGGATCCTGTGTAACATTAATTTCCTCCTTACAGGCCCTGTTTCCAAACATGGATATGGGGGGTAAGGGTTCATCTTGTGTGTTTGGGGGATATGATTCAATCCATAGCAGTAGTTGCTACAGGTCTCATTATGGCTTATCAGCTCTTTGAGCACCTGGTTAAAGCTAGTCACAATGTGAGAAGTGGGATATAAAGTAATGAACAATCAGACAGGATCCCAGCACAGCCTTTGTGTGCCAGCCATGGAGAGAGTCAATCAGATAATTACACAAGTAAATGTAAAATGACAATTGAGGTTGAATGTTACATAGGAGAAGTAATGGGGCAGTAATGTCTAATAGTGAGCCAGTGTGGTCTTCAGGTCAGGGAAAACCCTTCTGAGGAAGCAGAAGTAGGAGCTGAAAGGTGGAGAGGAGGGACAAGGACACTCTAGGCTATGGCTGAACAGAGACCGCAGTCCCTTCAACCTGAACTTCTGGTGGCTTCCAGCTGAAGTCACAGAGGCCAGCCCAGGTGGCACACTTTGTAGAAAGGCTTTCACTGAATTCTGTTAGCAGCCTCTAAGCCATTCTTGGCTTCTGTACGCATAGGGCACCCAGCCCCACCCCAGCCCTCCACTGAATCTCTATGAGAGAGGGGTGGGGAAGTTAGACCAGTGCAAGTGACTGATCAAGAACAGAGAAGAAACTCACCCTGCTGAGGTGACACAGCCAGACCAGGGTAGGTGAGCAATACCTGCTCATGCAGGTGCAGCCTTGGAGTCTGGTGGACTACTCACTTCATAGCCCAATCAGAGACATAGCCCTTTGCCCTCAACCCCATAAAACCTGTTCTGTACTGGCTTAGGTATTTCTGGGCCAAACTGATCCATCTGTTTGACTTATTTCGTACACATGAAGAGAAAAGGAAGATCAAAGAAACAAAAGAAAAGCAGCCCATGAAAAATCCATTTGTTTTCACTTCACCTGATGATCTTGAAAGTGACAAAGCTCATTTGCCCTTGTATAATTTTCTAACACATTTGGCAACGGGAAGGGACCCATGTGATGTTAAACCTTTCAGCGCCTTTTGCTATCAGCCTGTCTCTGGTAAGGCAGTCTCTTTGGAAGTAGAAATAGAGCTTCTAAAACCCATATGCTGAGGTATTGTGGAGACGCCTCCCTGGCCCTGCCTGGGACAGAGGACACCACCATTGGGGTGAGTCGGTGAGCTTTGGCATGGCTGTTTAACTCCTTTAGTGCTCATCTTGCTCCTCTCAGCTCTGAACTAACGTGGCGGCAGCACTCAAGCTAATTGGGGTCACATAAATTAGAACGCTTTCAACATAAACACTCTGTTGACTCTGGAGGGACTGGAGTCCACTCCTGTGGGATAGCAGAGAGATGGATTCAAACAGAAGCAATTCAGTGATCCCTCTCACTGGTCATAAACTTGTCCACAGTTTATTTTCTTGATTTATTGTGTTTGTGATGTTTGAGGAAGTCTCTGTGGATCTTCAAAAAGGAAAAGCCAAAATCAAATTAAAATGAAGGGCAGGCTCTAATTGCCTTTGCACAGAGGTGCTGGTTGGCAGCCACGGGGACTAAACTGAGTTTTCCCAGGACCGTGAGCTGCTTGTATGGTTGGATGGGGACAGCGGTGAACTGCCTTCCTCATTTCCGTTCTGTATTTAGGGGAATGCAGCAGTGGGATCTGTGATGAGGCCTCGTGTGTCAATGGAGGTACCTGTACTGCAGTCAAAGCTGACTCCTACATCTGCCTCTGTCCTCTTGGGTTCAAAGGTCGACACTGTGAAAATGGTGAGGAATAAGAGAGTTGACTGTTTCTTATCTGCATGTTAATTCACATGGTTGTAACTTTTGATTAATGCACTTTAGGCAAAGTCCTGTATCTTTCTATGAGATCAAGGTTGCTTTGTTGGGAGGGATAGAAATGTCTGAGAGTACCGGAGTTCCAAACCAATGAAAACTATGTTCCTTTTAAAATGCTGAGCAGAGGTGGGCTTCTTCTGAGCCTCGGCTTCTAGAAAGCCTGTATTTGTGTGGTTTATACCAGACTGAATTCAAAGCATTGAAAGCTCATGTTCCTTTTAATAGCTGGAACTTTGGGAGAAAAGATTAGGAAAATACACACAGAAATTAAGAATGTGATGGACAAAGTGCTCTTGTTTTTTCTTCTTTATAGTGTTCCGCTAAATTATTCCATCCATCAATACTGTATACAAATTATGTAAATATAAATATATGTTTACACATATATATATGCATATAAGAACATGTGTGCATAATAACACATCCAAATAATAACTGAATATTTAAAAGATTTTGGAAAACAATGCAAGCTTGAATATGCTTTAATTTTTCCAGAATTCCAAAATTAAACAAAACAAAACAAAACTGGGGCTAAGATCATAATGGTAACCACATTCCTCTACAAATGGCACCATACTGGGAACACGTTTAACATTATAATTTCAAATCTCATGTCACTAGAAGGGTATATTTGAGTCAGGAGAGCCAGTGCAGTTACATTTCCATCTCCTGTTTCAATAGCCTTATAGTACAATAGAGGCTGGTTCTTGTTCATTTCACAAATCACTGCAGGTCAGTGATGGTGTTGGTGAGAGGGCCTTCTGCTCCTCCAGTCATTCAGGGACCCAGGATAGTCAAGAACAGTCAGCAGTCATTCAGGGATATAGGCCCCTGCACACTCATGGCTCTTCTAGGGCCTTAGAGTCCTCCACTGGTTCCTGCAGCCACCCTGGTTGTGAGAGGAGAGAGTGGGGGAAGTTGCAGAGAAGTTTGAGAGGCCAGCCCTGGGGTGCTATATGATCTTTCACCTTCATTCTGCTGGCCAGAATTCAGTCACACCACCCTCCTGGCTTCAGGGTAGCTGGGGGTGTAGCACAGTTGTCCAGTCTGAGAACACAGGGACTTATAATGCCTTGCTTGTTTCTTCAGCTTTCATCTTGACCATCCCTCAGTTCAGAGAGTCTCTGAGATCCTATGCTGCCATGCCCTGGCCCCTGGAGCCCCAGCATTACCTTTCCTTCACAGAGTTTGAGATCACATTTCGACCAGACTCTGGGGATGGGGTCCTCCTGTACAGCTATGACACAGGCAGCAAAGACTTCCTGTCCATCAACATGGCAGGGGGCCATGTGGAGTTCCGCTTTGACTGTGGCTCTGGAACCGGTATCCTGAGGTGAGAGCTTGGACCTTCTGCAACCTCTTCTCCCCATAAGCCAAACAGTAACCTCTGTGAAGAAAGAACAAATTGCCATCTACCATCTTACACTCTTCTTATCTTCCCTACATCATTATATGTTGGAAATCTCCCCTGCTTCCTAAAGATGACAGGCTTTCCATAGGTCTCCTGCCTAAGAGATATCCTTTTCCCACATAACTACCCAGCAGGTAGAATCCTTTGCTTCTAACTATGGAAAATGAGCTTGCTTCCAATGGGAGGTAAACTCTCCATTTCCTCCTGAGGTCATGCAGTGCCATCAGCAGGGAGACTTTTAATGAATTATAATTAATCAGCACCTTACACAGAGCGTCATATGGTTGGTGCCCAGCAAATATAAGATGTTGCGTTAAAAAGTTTTAGCAAATTTTAATGAACAGAAATGTCCTTGATGACTGGTTTCAATTTTAACTTTCTTTTTGAACTGTTCTGTGGATGGTAACTAGTGATTTCACAAGTCTCTTACTGTTCTTCAGTACAGTGAGTCATCAGCGAGGCACAGACCCCCTTGCTGCCCAGTGCACTCAAGAAGGATGGGTGCTGAGTGGTTTCAATAGCATGGTGGTGAATGGGTACATCTGAAGGATTTGCTGACATTTGCAAAATTGGTCCCAGTAGCCTAGACAATAGGCTAGACAATCGGAGCAAAGTACTGCTCCGATTGTCTAGTCTGTACTATTGAACTACTTAGCACATCGATTGTTCCCATACAGTGAGTCAGTATCTTGTGTAACCCCGTGGAGCCTGTGGTTGGTAGGTGCAGATATTTTTCTTTTTGTTTATGTCTCCTTTTTACTGTGTTCCTTTCATGGTAGTTTTAACCTTCAAGCCCAAGGGCTGCGTATCTAATGCAGACATTCTTATTGTTCCTACATTTGTCTAATTCTTCTCTTTTGAAACTCACTAAGACGTTTTGCTTAATGGTGCCCTGCAATAGGCTATCAGTTAGCCTGTTGTTGTTTTAAAGGAAATTGCAGGCTGTGTTCAATCACTGTTCATATTGCTAGCCTGTCATTTTTATGGGGAGTGTAGGTGTGAGATGTTACCACTGTGCATTGCCCCTAACTGCAGATCATTTTTCATGGCTGATGGGAAATGTTCTCTGCATTAAGTTCTAACAGTTCTTTAAAAGGATGGGTTGTGTTTGTCCTTGTGATTGAATTCCTACACATCAGCGACACCTCTTACCTTGAGGAATGGACAAACTTTTTTCTATCTCTGGTTATGCAAAACATCTTATATCTCAAGATAACTTTAGTGGGTATTTAATGGACTCAATTTACATATGATTATGCAAAATAGCCTAAGCAATTCATTTGGAAATATATGTCAAGTTTAGAATGGAAGACACCTTGGCTATCACCCTGAACTTTAAATGGCTTCTTCGTGATAAGGAGAGATCAAAAGAGCTGAAGAGGCCAGGGGCTCATCAACCCTCCTCCTGGAAAGATTATCCTCTCTACCTGCCTCTGTAGAACTTCAGCTGTGAGGTCACAAGCACATGAACCCCTACAAGTCCAGTGTTTCTCTTTTTCCTAAATTTATGTCCAGTTTTAATAAGTGGTGTGTTTAATTATTTAAAGAATGCAAATTACTGTTTTCCTACTTGTCAGGAAGGACTATTGGAAAAAGAATTCCTGAGTATTCAGTGATGAAACTAGGCAAGAGTTTCCAATGAACAAACTACCATCTGCCCCCTTGGCCCCTCATCTTCCCCCGCATACCCTGACATCATTGATCACTATTGGCATTCCAGATGGCTCTTTGGGAGCTGTTTGTTTTGAAAATCATTTCAAAATCTTCCCACTTAATTAAGAGAATTCAGTGAAAGCCTGAACTGCAGGGAGTTGTGGAATTGGCCAAATCATTTTAACTTTAGGAAGAGGATAAAATGGTCAAAATCATTATGGACTTGATTCAAAAATCAAGACAATTGGAATGAGTTCTTTATGGCTGTGATCAATATAGTGGTGCAGAGGATGGCAGGCAGCATATTGACAGCAGCTGACCTCTGTGGGACCAGAACATGACAATGGTGCTGTTAGTTATTATGGAAATAGACCACTTAAAAGGGACCCCTGTTTCTTTATAGCATATTGATTTATCCAGGATGATTAAATTCTAATTGCTAAGGACAAATCACAAAAGCATTTGCCTGAGCAAAAGAATTAAATGAAAGGGTGGTGACCCTTCAATAATTGTCCCCATTGGTATTCCTCGTGGTTTTCTAAAGATGATCCATGACCAAAAATATAATTGGGAGCTTCAGTGAGGGCCAGGAACTAAGTATTGTTAGAAATATGGATGCAATAAGATACTCTCTCTGCACACCTTACTATAAAAAGTAATGTAGAAAAGTCCTATAAATATTATTTAAGCTCCAAGTATAGAGTTTGACTTAATAATTTAATTTTTAAAGTAATTTTAATCTTCTTCACAAGATCAGAGAACATGGAATCTATTCCCCCTTGTGTTAGTCCATTTTGTTCTGCTATTAACAGAATTCCCAAGACTGGGTAATTTATAAAGAATTGAGGTTTATTTCTCCCAGTTATGGAGGCTGGGAAGTCCAAGGTCAAGGGGAATGCAGACTCAGAGGGCCTGCTTGCTTCATTATCTCCATAGTAGAAGGTGGAAGAGAAAGAGAACACACACACATGACAGTGGGGGAGGAATGCGTCTGCATCCATCGTATTTTAAGAAATCCACTCCCACCATACCTAACACACTCCAATGACAATGTCATTAACTCATTCATAAAAGAGGAGTCCTCGTTACCTACTCACTTCATAAGGTTCCTGCCTCTCAAGAATGTTGCATTGGTATTAAGTTTCAAACATGAACTTTCAGAGACACATTCAAACCATAGCATCTCCTCCAACATTTTATTATGAAAAAATTTCAAATATAGAAAAATTGAAAGAATTGCAAATATTCTTCTACCCACCACTTAAAATCTATCATTCATGTTTTGCTATTTGCTGTATTATATACCTATCCATCTTTATTTTTAAGCATTTCAAAGAGTATTATAGACACCAAAATACCAAGGACTCACATATCCCATTTAATTTTCTTCTTCAAATTTTGTGCATAATTGTTTGTCAAATTTTCCCCTTGGATCACCCCTTAACTAGAAAATCAGATTCACTGTACCCACTTTTCAAGCTTTTTATAAGAATTAATAAGATGATAAATGCCATGCTTGCATCATGAAGTTCAATAAATGGTAGATAATATTGCTGTCATTACTAAGCAGGAAATGTTTTCTTTTTTGCTGAATAAATTGAAGTAACTGAGGTTGGTATCAATTTTATCATAGCTAGATTGAAATAGATAGAAATGATACATAACATGCTAACTCATATTCAGTTTCCATCTGTATTAGTCAAGATTCCCCAGAGAAATAGAACGAAGACTATATATAGATATGTAGAAAGGGATTTATCTTGTAAGTTTGCCTCACCTGATTAAAGAGGCTGAAAAGTCCCATAGTCTGATATCTGCAAACTGGAGGCCCTGAAAAGTCAGTGGTGTAGTGCTGTCCAAGTCCATAAGCCTCAGAATAGAGGAGCCCTTTGTGTAGTTCCTGGTCTGAGTCCCAAGGGCCAAGAACAAGGAGGCTGATGCTCTAAGTTCTGGTCCATGTCAGAAGATCCAAGAACTAAGAACACGTGTCCAAAGGCAGGAATATGTGGATTTCCCAGCTCATGCAAAGAGAAAATTCATCCTTCTTCTATCTTTTTGTTCTATTCAGGCCCACAAGTGATTTGATGATGTCCATCCACCTTGGTGAGGGTAATTCTGCTTATTCAGTCTGCCAATTCAAATGCTAAGCTCTTCTAGAAACATCTCCAGAGACACAGAAATGTCTTACCAGTTAGCTTGGTATTCCTTTAGTCCAGCCAAGTGGGCACATAAAGTTAACATTACATCTTTCTTCAATAGGAGTGAAGATCCTCTCACCCTTGGCCAATGGCATGAGCTGCATGTATCTCGCACAGCAAAGAATGGTATCTTACAGGTGGATAAGCAGAAGGTAGTAGACGGAATGGCAGAGGTAAGAAGACCACAGCTTTTCTCTTGCTGGTTAGTGTGAACCAGGTTACTGTTCTCTACCAATCTTGGTAGAAAAGTAGCACAGTCCAGTACTTAAGCACATGGATTCCAATGCTAAGACTGAAATCCAAACTTCCAACAGGGAAACTACTTTTATACTTTACAATTAAAAATTGGAGTTATAGTAATAGTACTGACCTCATAGAGTCATAAGGATTAAGTGAGTTAATACTTAATAAACACAGCCTTAAGGAATTGCTTTCTACCCTTTTTATCCTCAACCTCCCCTTTTCTTATCAGCAGTATAATATGATAGCCAAGAATATTGACCCTGAGGCAGGGCCAGTGGCACAAGGGTGACATGTCTGACAAGAACAGATTGTAAAACCAGACGCCTGAGGTTCACAGTCTAGCTCCATTGCTGACCACTGGTGCAACCTCATACTAGTTACTGGTCCTCCTTCATTTGTGTTTTTATAAGTTTTCGTATCAATAGAAATAATATTGATGATAATAGTGCTTGCTTCATGGAGTTATGAGAACGATAAGATATATATGTGTATGTATATCACAGCAGCACCTAACACATGGTCAGCACTATGCAGCTTCACTTATTATTATTATTACTAGTTAATACTATATTATTATGGACTCAAGGGCATAGAATTTCTACTGGAGTTTGTAAATTTCCTCCATGATTTTATTTCCAAAGTCATGTTCAAAGAAAAACAGTATTTTTAAGTGGGGATAAAGGAGATTTGCTTCAAACTATAGCCTAGTAGGATTTTATATGCGCACAAAAATTATACCCCCCCCAAAAAAAATCAGATTTGCCAATATCTTGGTTCACAACAGCCTTTATTCTGTGCAAAGCAAGACTTAAAGAGGACACTGGCAAATTTGGGCACATTAATAAGCAAATGGGTTGGTAGAAAGAAGAACAGGAAGGAAAAGAGAACTTTGCTGGGGAAAGAGGGATACGGTTGGAGGAAGAAGAAAAACATATATGTCTAGAAACCAGCTTTAGAGACCACAGTGGTGGGAAACTCTATCAGAACCAAGAACCTTCTTAAAAAGGAGAAGAATTCCAAACCTGTCTCTGGTATAAGAGGTAAGCACCCTTCACACTTAGAAAATGCTCCGTATATATTTGTGGTAGGAAGGAGAGATGGAATTAAGGAAGGGAGAGAGAGAGGGAAGGGAGGAGGAAGAGAGGGAAGATGGATGAAGGGAAATGGATTTTAAAGAGAACTGGAGTCACTTCTGGTTCAATCCAGAACATTTTTACAGCATAGAACAGTCTAATGGTCTAGCTGATTGTTGGCTTAATTATATACATTCATAAAAGCATTGCATCTCTTTAAGCCTTACAGTTACCTGTAAATCAGGAATGATGAAAGCTCAGGGTGAGAGTGTTTGTTAATATCAGTGTTACAGTCTTTCATTATAAATACGGAACTCTTCAGGACATGGTATTCGCCATTAGGATCTAAGAGACAACACAAAGGTAAAAACCACATATCAGAGTTTCTTTTCCCACCATATCAGCAAACAATCATGAAATCAATATAGCAGAGTTCAGTGTCCTCCCTCTTGGCTTTTTGAACTGGGTGTGCATGGATGGAGCCGCCCACCTGGAAGGCAGTGTAAACAAACAGGAAGGGGTAGCTGTGAGATGTGCATTCGAGAGAAGTTCTGTTAAAGCTGAGCCAGGAGTGGGAAGGCCCACTGCTTGACCTCAGTGAGGTGAACACCAGTCAGCTCCCTCCCTGCAAGGCTTTCTGTTCCTCAACTGTCCACACCATGTTCAAAGCACGGCTGAGGCAGAAGGCAGTGGTCCTAGTGCCTAGGGACAAGTGGGCAGGAGCTCGAGTACACCTTGAGGAGCTAATCTGGGACCTACACTTGTGAGAGCCTGTGCCCAGCTAAGCTTGAACCCAGACTTAGAGCTTGTGGCTGAGTCCAACTACACAGAACTCAAAGGACAGTGCCTATAGGGAATTCAGAAAACCCTCCCCAGGACTTGCTCAGCTTTCCAAACTGCTACCACCAAGCAGAAGTTCAGCTCCATACGGGAAGTGCTTCACTTTGAAGCAGGCCACACGCTGGTAGTCTCTTTGCTTCTTTCCTGAAGTCCCCCTGGATGTGGTAGCTGTGACCCTGCTTCTCTTCTCCACAGGAGACAGGGAAGACGTTAATGAGCAGCCCAAAGGAACTGGCACTCACCCTGTTTTCACCCAAAGTCCTTTGAGAACAGCCTGCTGCTCTGAGGCCCCCTGACCATGCAGGCTTCCTCCTCTCCTCCCCTTCTTATTTTAACTTTTGGGAAAGAGAAATGGCAGGGAAGGATGCCTGTGGGTTTGTGTAACAGTTCCTGCTTAGTTCCTTATTCTGTTGGACCACAAAAATTCCTGAAAGTGCTTCTACTTCTTTGATGACCTCATAGTAAACGAAGAACCCTCAAAGCTGCTGAAGGTTATTGACCAAGGGTGCCTTTTTTGTTTTGAGACAGGGTCTCACTTGTGGTTCAGGCTGGCCTTGAGCTCACTGTATAGCTCAGGCTGGCCTAAAACTCATGGCAATCCTCCTGCTTCAGCCTCCCAAGTGCTAGGATTACAGGTGTGCACCACCATGCCCAGTGCTGACCAACAGTGACTTTGTCTATTAATCTAATCAGGATTTCCCTGGGCCCATCTGGCTGCTCCAGACACTATGAGTGTTCCCCAAGATACATGGAACATCCTGTATGACCTGTCTCCTCTTTGCCATCCCTGATGTGACCAAAATCCACTCTCACCCTTCTAATTCATAATCTTCCTAAACACAGGTGTCTCTGTTTCTCTTTCTGTCTCTCTATCTCTCTCTGTATTTCTTATATCTCTCTGTATTTCTCTCTGTCTCTTTGTCTCTCTCTCCCTCTTTCCTTCCTTCCCTCCCTCCCTTCCTCTCCTTCTCTCCTCCTGCTTAACACCCCTATCGTGGCTTCTATGGCCCTGTATGACCAAATTACCTGGCTCCTACCTGCCTCCACCCTATACTTTACATGCCCTCCAAACCTGACTTCTTCCAGTTTTCACAGCTATAGCTCTTCCTTCACTGCCTCCCCCACTCCCTTGTGTCTAGGATAGGGCAAGAGATATCCCTGTGCCCCATGTGCACTCATGTGAACCTGTGCACTCCTCCTGTCTGCTGATCTCACCTGCCCATGGACTTGTCTGTGTTCAGCACCAGCATAGACCCTTGAAGGGCAGGGTCTCTGTCTTTCTTACTTGCTGTTGTTTGTCCAGCATTTAGCACAGTGCCTAAGACATAGTAGGTGCTTGATAATGTTTGTTTAATAAATGATTGAATGATGCTACTGTTTGCATTTCTTGTTTCTTTTACCACAACAAATGAAATAATAACTAAGGTGTGCTTATCTCCAGTGAGCTCAAATTTCTATTTATCTCTGTTGATTATAAGAGTTTAACATTTTGCTTATAGCTCATGTTGGAATGTGCTTAGACGTTAACTATTACACATAGCATATTATCTAGCTACCCTTTGGAGTTTAGGCTGGTTTTTGGGGGGTACCAGGGATTGATCTTGGGTCCTTGGGCTTGTGCAGCAGGTGGTGAAACCACTGAGCTAAATCCCCGGCCCCGAGTTTAGGCTTTTAAAATCACTAGTAGCAGGGAAAGCCTTTGGGAATTGATACTGGGAAGTTCCCTGAGAATGGGGAAAATGAAGAATTCTTCTGCCCATTGTATTTGATCTCTAGGGCTGCTAGCCCTCACTGTGCTTTCCCTTCCCTTTGTCTGTCAGAGGTTCTTCCCCCACTGCCCAGTGTAACAATAGCTACACATTGGAATGCTGATTAGTCCTCCAACTCTGGGCAGTGTGCTAACTAAATGTTATCTCAGCAGCCAAGGTAGGTAGATTGTGCTGTATTCAATCACAAGCAACCCTAAAATGTCACCAGTGATAAGAAGGGTTTAGTTCTCATTCAACCTGAAGGTCTACTAATGGGTAGCTGCAGCTTTCACTGGAAACCCAGGCAGGAAGAGGCAGGAGGGGGAAAGGGCATGGTGAACCATGCTTTGGCTGTGAAAGCTTCTCCCAGAGGCATCTGGCTTTCTTCTCCTCATGTTTTATAGACTAAAGTAAGTCATATGGCCCTACCTGAGCTCTGGCTGGAGACAGTCTTTTTGCAGAGAGGGTGCTTCTGAAAGAGCCCTGCACACACCAGCCTCAGCAATGCAGTCTCCCCTATTCATCCAGATGCCCAGGAGAGGGATTCTAACTCTACAAATGATGAAGCTGAGTTTCAGAGAGGTTAACAATCTACCAGCATTCAAAAGTCAGGCATGGAGGCACACACCTAGAATCCCAGCTACTCAGGAGGATAAGGCAGGAGGATTGAAGTTCAAGACCATCCAGGGCAATTTAGCAAGACCTTGTCTCAAAATAAAATTTTTAAAAGGGCTAGAGCGTCAGCTTGGTGGCAGAGCACTTGCCTAGCATGTGTGAAATCCTGGGTTCCATCCCCAGCACTGGAAAAAAAAAAAAAAAAGAAGAAGATCATTGTAATGGGTCTTGAAGCCTTCTCTATGTCTCTACAGAGAGCTAAAGACATATTCTCTAATCTTAACCATATGTTCTAAATTGTATTGTGATTTGCTGTTTTAATCTCTTGGCAGGGAGGCTTCACCCAGATTAAGTGCAACACACACATTTTTATTGGCGGAGTCCCCAGCTATGATGACGTGAAGAAGAACTCAGGGATCCTCAAGCCATTTAGTGGGAGCATCCAGAAGGTACAGGCTCCACTTTCGAAATGTGCTTATTGTGCCACCCTGACCCTGACAACAGAAGGGAGGGCTGTGATCAGTGTAACCTTCACCCAAGAAAGAAGCTTTGAGAAAGTGGAAAGTTTTAAGATTCTGTTTTGTAATACTCTTAGAATAATTTTCCAGCCCCACTTCCTTAGACCACCTCTTCCTGGGTCTATGGACAGCAGACATTCCATGAATGCCATTTTCCATGAAAATGAATTTTTATAGCAAATCTACCAAAATAGTCTGGAACCACCAAGGTAGGCACCTGGCCCCAGTCCCTGCAGATACTTCTACAGTAGGGAAGGAAGGTGATGAAAACAAATAGCAATTCTGGCTTATGCTCCTCATTGGCATCAGTTTGCAGTTTGCACCAGATAAAAGCCAACGCTCAACCCTGCCCCCACAGATGAGCAGCTGTTGCTCATCAGTCATGTAACCAAGCTCTTGAGAGCAGAGATTTAAGAATCCTTCCCTAGAAGATTCATTAAAAAACACTCAGCTATTGAAAGACACTGACTGCACTCATATTCGTCTCTTATTTCTTCCACTGGGGCTGTCCATGATCCCTCCCATCAGGAGGACATGCTCCGTCGGCACACACACACTGAGTGACTCTTATCTCAGAGACAGAGGACCAGCTAACATAGGGGGAACGGATCTGGAGATGACCATGCTTGGTTTCTGGGTTTTGTATCATACTATTTTCCTTTAGCAACCAAGAGTCCCATGTGGGCCTTTGCTGGATGAAGTATGAGGGAGGCTAAGAGGAAGGGGCCAGGGGCTCTGTCCTTCTCGTCTCCTTTCTCAGTCCTGGGCACAGAAAGGGAGCCCAGCTGACACTTGCTGGCTCTGATGGGTTTCCCTTTGTTGCTGAACTGCAACGTTAGAGACACCTTAGTTGAGACCATTGTCCCCCATGCATGGATTTGGCCATGCTTAATCATGTGTTTGACATTTGCACCGAGGAAGCAGGCTGCGAGGCTAGAAGCTTCATCCCTCTGCCTGGCCTTCAGGCTTTGCCCTGGCTCCACACAGTACGCACAATCCTCTCCCTCCTGGAGAGGCTGCCCCCATCCCCATGCCTGCGCCATATCCAGCAGTGACTGGTGCCAGTCTTAGCTTGCTTGAGCACACACTACTCGGTTTCATAATCCTTCACTTGCAGTCTGAAAAGGTGAAATTGTAGAAGGATTTAAGCTCCTCCATAGCAGCTTCTCAGATTTAGGCCTGGGAGAAACATTCTTCCAACTCTTAATTGCTCTCCAAGAGGGAGGCAAGCCTTTGGAAATGTGGATTCATGGCAGGAAGTGCCATTGCTAACCTCTTATATCTCCTGGGCAGAGGGGTTCCCTGGGAGAGTGTTCTCCATGTTGCTGAGTTCTAGAAAGTGAGCAACAGCTTAAAGTCACACATCCTAAGTCTAGGACTAAAAACGCTGGGTTCATTTATTTGGGGGTAGGGAGCCCCGTAATCCCGCCCTGCAGTCCATCAGATTGGTATAGCTGCATTACAGGGAAGAGGGAGCGAACCCTCCAGCCCTAGTAAACGTGCACATTGCTGCTAGGATGTGACCAGAGCTTCACTTGTTGGCTTTTAGCAGTAGGAGAGGAGAATATGGAGGGTGAGGGCACTCAGGAATATCAGGGAAGGAGGATAGGAGGAGTGGGATAACTGGGGAGGCCCAGTTGATGGAGTTTTGGGAAACCATGTGAGAATGTTAGCCAGAAGCCCACGGGAGTATACCAGAAAGCCTCTCTGGTTTCCACAGGTACAAAAAGGATTGCCTCCCCTTGATTGCTGCGTCCATACCACTTGGTTTTGTCCTGGTCCCTACTCTGCTTCATAGCAGCATCTCTTAGCCACGGCTGCATTGAAAGTTACTGAGGACTGGCTCCCTCCAGTAGAGGTAGCTCAGCTGCACCTGTGTTTCTTAAGAGCCCCCAGACACTTCTGCTGTGCAGCAGGCTGAGGCGCCGAACATTGCAGTTCTTGGCATGTATTCCTGACTGTCCCGTATTCCTTTAGAATCAAAGAAGTGCTCTCCTCTGCCGATCTTTCCAAGTACCAAACGTGACCCTTCAGCTCCTGCACCCCTCACAAGACAATCAAAGCAGCAACTGTACTTTTTTCTTGTTTTTAACCGCCCTTACTATGTGTTGCTTGGATTGGTGTAGTGAAGGAAACTAGAAAATGTCAAAGATATTTTCGGATTCCTGAATTTCCTTTCATTTCTCTCTCCCAAGATCGTGCTGAATGACCGCCCCGTCCATATGAAGCATGATTTCACATCTGGTGTGAACGTGGAGAATGCTGCCCACCCCTGTGTGGGGGTTCCCTGTGCCCACGGGGGCAGCTGCCAGCCCAGGAAGGAAGGTTATGAGTGTGACTGCCCCTTGGGCTTCGAGGGCCTGCACTGCCAGAAAGGTACACACAGGGATCTCAGGCAATACTTTGGAGGGAGTGGAGACCACAGAGTAGTGGGGAACCAGAACTCAAGAGAGAATTGGTAGCACTGGTACAGCCATGCTGTATTTTGACCAGTGACTTCAGTAACTCACTAGGTTGTCAGTTGTATATAAACTGCCATACCTTCTTAATAAGAATTACATGGCGAATGCTTCTGTAACCATAGGTAAATAGCTTCTTCATCCCGTGCCCTGGCTCCTTCCCCGAGAATACCCTTATAGTCTTGCCATGAAAAGGTTAACCTGTGATATACCAGGGGTTCCCAGGACTTGTGCATGTGAGCCATTCCCAAAGCCAGTCCTGGCAGGGGGATGCCTAAGCCTGACAAGTGATAAACATTTTAACTATTTTGACCCCTGCCTGTGAGTGCTGTAAAGAGAAATATTGTCCAAATACAGAAAAATAAATATTATGCATTAGTTGCCCCAAACTGAAGTGTGCATAATGTTCTGTGGAGTGCTATTTTCCATGCCATCAAATCTCCCTATGCATCAGTTTTCTTAATTGTAAAATGAGAATGATTGTAGCAATAGTTTCTAACATTAGGGTTGTGGTATAGACTAACTGAGGCAATGCATGTAAAGGATTTAGAAGAGTGGCTGGTAAGCACTCAACCAATCCTAGCCATTACTGTTGTTGAGAAAAATACAAGCCTTAAGCTGGTGCTGTAAGCTACTTAGTTTACATCTTGCCCTTGTCTGAAAACTGGTCAGGTCATAGACCACAAGACTCTGCTCAACTCTCTTTCTCTATCTGCTCAGGGGAAGCGAAGCAGAAGCTATGGTCCTGGCACCTAGAATAGGCATGCCCACATATGTGCCCCCAGTTGGGCCATGTGGACTTTCTTTGCAATGTCAGTATGGCCTCACCTGCTCAGGAGCCTGGAAAAAAATAAAGCAATGAGCCCATGAAGGAGTGTCCCCCCGCCCCCACTCTTTTCCAGGTTCCTGATTTTTGTCAAAATTAAGGCCTAGAGGAAAACTATATATTACAGATAGATAATATGAATCAGTAAGGTCACTTTTATTACAGCAGTCTTGGAAAACATGAAAGATGCCAGTTTGCCAATTAGAAGATTTAGTAGTATGTCTTGCATTTAAATGAGTTCTGAAATCTGCATGGCAAATCACGACATATATTTTTTAAGAAAGAAGAGTAACTGATCTATTTGTAAATTATCCCAATTATAATTCTAACAAGAATATTGTTGACCATTAGCAGAGGTTGTACTTGCAAAGCTTTTATTGAAAAAGGACTCATTCGTTCAGAAAATTGGGTTTGGATTTCACACATCAGTGTTTGCACTTCCCGAGTCTCTGATATTACTATGGGCACTTCAAGAGTCTTTGTAACTCTAACTGTAAGTCTATAAAGACCAAGCGTAAATGATCACTGAGCTTTGGGAATTGAAGGAAGAAGGAAAGGATAATTTGTGATCCTCTTAGTCTCCATTTCTTTCTATGGAACATTGGGTATAATAGATATTAAGTGCTCACATTATGGCTTTGTGACTTAGCTACAGGTCCAGTGAGAAGCTGATCTTACCAGAGGTATGGGGCAGACGCCAGTGAGAGCCTAGTTTCTGGCACGATCTGAGGGAGCGGACAGAGACCCAGAGGGCAGTTAGGCCTTTTTTCCTGTAAGGTGTGCTAGAACTAAGGTTAAAACCCAGACAAACTATTAGCTGCCGTGTGTCTTGCATCAGTGTCACCTTGGGCTTTGAAGTCAAGATACTGGTTCTGAGAAAATGGAAGCCTGCCGCAAATGCTAGAAGGGCTCACATCCCATCATTTCCTGTCCCATTCTAGTGATGGGGGATCATTAAAGAAATATGTGTGGGGCTGGCAGACCACCCTGGTGGCGTAGAGATCTCCCCTTTGTCCCTGTGAGGTAGGAGGCAGGCTCAGGGGAGCTGAACCCAGACAGAGGTGGCAGCAGTTCCCTCCACCTTCCAAGCTGCTGCCCAGGGCACAGTTTCCCTGTAGCCGAATAAGATGAAGCCTCTTCATCCCAACCTTGAACATTCAGGAAAAGAAGGAACCAGAAGATTTTCTAATGCTCTAACAGGACCATAAAGCTCAACTTCGGTGGTCTCTTCACCTTCCATTTGGGGGCTCTCACTTTCAAGTCTCTTCTTCTACCACAAACCTCAGCACCCCATATGCCACCCCAAGAGCGAGGCCCCTTCTCATCTAACAGAGGGTTATCAACAAGCCTCCCCTTCAGAACATCTCTCCCACCCCGAGACCTGCTTCCTCCTTTCTCTACTCTTGTCAAAATTTATCCTTCTTGGGTTCCAGCCCCTCAGAGATCTTGTATGTAAGGAATTTACTAATACCTTAAAGCAGAGATTCACAAAGTACATGTAAAAACTAAGTTCTGAGGAATACTAATGGCTGGTTTGTGTGTCCACACACGCACTCACCCCCACCCACAAACTGCACACACACTCACACACAGAGACACGCACACAAACACATGCAGTCACATGTACTTGGGAGCGGAGTTCTGTGGTCAAATAAGTTTAGGTAGCTCTGGATGAATAATAAAACAGCTCTCTCTTCTGCAGGACTTCTCAGAGACTTTGCTGTGTTCTGAGTGTCCAGGAGGGGTCCAGGACACAAAAGTTTGTCATGAGTTCTACCAGCTACTAGCTGACAGGTCATTTGTGTAGAACTTCTGAGCCCTGTTCCTACCTGCTCTTCCCTTCATTACTGAGAACACTTGGACTCAGACAGTGCGGAACCCCACTGGCCACTAGAGGGGGGTGTTTCTCTGTACAGGGGAGCTGTTCTGAGCAGGACCCAGAGCACCTACAGGGGAAACCTGGGTTCAGGGCCCCACGTGGTAACGGTCATGCACCCCTGCCTGATCAGTGCTGATCTGTCTCCCTCACAACATTTAGGGTATTCTGTGCTGTTTGTAGCAGATTCACATCCTGTTGCAGGGGCTGATTTGCGTAAATTTTTTTTGCCCCAGTGTATAAGAAAATAGCCTCAGTAAATATATACCCATGTTTAAAAAGAATGCAGATTAATATAACATAAATTTTGCATATTACAAGAATTTAATTTCTTTAGGTTGGTGTATCATTCAACAATTTTAGGATGTTTCGTCTAGAGGCTAGTCCTTAGTTATAGGGCTAATAGTACAAGAAAAGTGTTTACTTACTTATTTTTTACATACAAAATCAACTTAATACAGATTGAATATCTCTTATCCAAAATGCTTGAGATCAAAGTGTTTCTAATTTCAGATTTTCCAGTTTTTGGCATACATGCATGTACATAAAGCTATATCAGGGTTGGAGCTCAAGTCTAAACATGAAATATATTTATGTGTCATATACAACTTTTATGTGGAGACGGAAGGCAATTTTATATGGTATTTTTAGTCACCTGCTTTTTGACTCCAGGCCATCACATGATCTCAGGTGAGATCAAATTTTCCACTTCTGGCAGAATGTCAGCATTCAAAAAGTTTCAGATTTTGAAGCATTGAAGACTTTAGGTTTTTGGATTTGAGATGCTCAACTTGAATAATGAAGAATTCTGGGCCAATCCTCGAAGATGGTCCACTGCCCATCAGGAAAGTGTTTAATTATGCAGGATGCCCATGCATCAGGATGCTGCTGAGAGGCCTCTGACTTAGTTGGACCTAAACTGACACCTGCAGAGTGTATGAAACTGTCCTTTCACCTCTTTATTGAAAATTTGAAGTACCTCAAGTAGGAAATTTGCTTTGTCTGCGCTGTGGAACTTTTGAAAGCTACAATTCATTAGAGTATTTTTTTTGTACCATCAAGTGGCACATTGTTAGAGTATAAATGTGAGGGAATGACAAAAACACATTTTGACAAACACATCCATAAAAGCCATTGCCCCAGAGGAAAGAATGCAGAAAAAATGAGGTATGAAGGTTAGATTAAAATATAACCATGTTTATAATAGTATTTGGACAAACCAGAAAAGGGCCAGCAAGGGCTGGATGGCCACTCTAGCTGCATTGCCTTTGAGTAGAACTGATATTTATCCATGCACACTGACTATACTGAGGACCTCCCCACCACTTCCACCTTGTTCAGTGGGGTTATTTCTGGAGGATGTCTTTGCCCTTTGTTAATCACAAAATAGCCAGGTATCTAGAATCATGCAAAGGGGAACAGATGAGAATGAAGGGGCAGTTTTCCACTATGGAAGGGGCTTTTTATCATCCCTTTATCTTGTATAGCCTAGAGCTAAGAAAAATATAACCATTGACAAGGTAAGTACTTCTTTCTGTAGTGTAGGAGAGATGTGGTTTGTCAGTTGAAGGTGACAGTCCCACAGAAGTGCCACACAACTTAGTATAAACATCTTGGTCATTGCCCCCCCAGCCATGGAAGAGGGGAAGTGCATGAGTTGGTGCCAGTCTGCCAGTCGTGCCAGGGCAGAGTTCCAGGCGCCTGTGCTGAAGTTCCCATTCCGTTCCCTTTTGGACCCTCAGCAGGGCTTTGTGAGGGAAGCAGGCTGGTTTCAAGGGCTCTGTGACCAGCTCAGCTGAGATTTACAGTGACTGTGAGCAGCTGACTCTCCTGTTCTTTTTCATGCTGGCGCCTGGCAGAGTGTGGGAACTACTGCCTCAATAGTAAGTACAGTTCGTCCTGGGAGAGGCTCTGAGCACTGGACCCCTGCCAGGACCTGCCAGGGCAGGCTCTGGCCAGGCTGGGGCACAGTGCAGGCCAACCACGTGCAGAGGAACTGGGTGAGAAGTGAGGGCTCAGATGCGCCCAGGGGGTAGTGGGAATCTTCCAAGAGTGAGAGTGTGGGCCCTGGGGACACACCTGTCTCCCAGCTGCACCTCGGGGATGCCTGAGCACTGGGCTGGGGGCTTCCCTGGCAGCTCGAAGTAGCTCCCCCAGATGGACCTCTCTTGAGGCTCCGTGTGCAGAGCTGATATGTGACAAGCATGTCCTGATCATTTCATGAAGTCCTGAGGAAATAGAGCTGTTGGTCACAGGCCCAGGGACCCGACCAACGACAGCATGGGCAGGCCCCGGCTGCACCTCTCACCCTGGGGTGAGCCAAGCCCGCTGGGGGTACCATGGTTATGTTTAGCCCTGGGAAGGGCTCCCTGCCAGTCAGCCAGATGCTCTCCCCTGGTTCCCCTTCCCAGAAATGCTTTCCTGAGGGCAGGGGCCTGCCTTGGCCAGCTGCTCCCTCCTATCTCCTCCAGTTCTGTTTGCTTTTTTTTTTTTTTT